GTCTCGTGACTGGTAGGGAGGGAACGTTACCGCCCTGCGTCCATAACCCTCCCTTGCCGCCTCTACGCCCACGGCCCAAGCCGGGGAGAGCGCTCTGCGCCCGGTGGCCTACTTCCCTCTCTCCCGCGTGGTCGCCTCCTCCGCCCCCATCCACATTTCCAACTCCTTGGCCGTGCACGGGCAGGTGAGGACTCCCTTCTTTTTCTTTGCCTCTTTTTTTCGCGCCAAAAAAGCGTGGATTGGGAAGTTCGCACCCAGCGGCTTGCTCTGAGCTGATCTGGGTACCTACGCGTTGATTGTCCTGTGACTGACGCCATGAAGGAGTCTCATTGCGGACACGCCTATATAATTCTTCTGGTCGACTTGCAATGCTTGATTGAAAGGAAGAGTATGATGGGGGTTGGACATTGGCCCACATTTTAAAGACTCGCCAGCACGGCTTCTTCCCGTTCCGATGGCCCTCCCTCCCTCCCTTCCTCCCTCTCTTCCTCCCTCCCTTGTTCCCAGGGAGTCTACATCGTCACACAGGAGGAGATGGTACGCCTGGATATGGACACATCCTCCGCGTCCTTGAAGTTCCGATGGGCCACTCCCTACGGACGAGGCGGACTCCCTGTAAGGGGGGCGAGGGACAAGGAAGGAGGGCGAGGAAAAACGACGCGGGCATGAACAAGGAGCCGGAATGAGACCGCTGCGTCTTCCTCTTCCTCATTGCGGTCTTCTTCCTCCTTCCCTCCCTCCTTCCTTCCCCCCTTCGCCTTCCCATCCCTCCCTCCCTCCTTCCCTCCCCCAGTGGTACACGTCCCGTCTGGGCCCGGGCTCGGGCTCAACGCCCTCCTTGACCTCCTGCCAAGGCCGAGATATGGTGGTGATCACCGACGGCGAGTTGAGAATGAATCTGATCTACCTGGATGCGGAGACGGGTGGGGAGGGAGGGTGGGAGGGCGGGCGGGAGGGAGAGAGGAGAAAGAAGGAAGGTTGAGATTTTATCTCCTTATCTTCCTGTAGGGGTTCCCCCGACTGCAATTATTCTGAGACAGTACTCTTTTTTCCCTCCCTCCGTCCCTGAAGGTGAGGAGATAGCACGCACGCCCGTCGATTTTGGCGCGAAAGTCGACGCCTCCCGACTCACTTCCGAGCAGTCGGTGGCCGTGCGCGGGTAGGAAGGGAGGGAGGGGGGCGAAGGTTGGGGTCAAGCGGGTGTCAAGAGATCTCCTGCCCATGACTAGGACCGCCAGGGAGACGATGAAGGGAACGAGGCCAGGAATCTTACCCCTCCCTCCCTCTCTCCCTCCTTCTTCCCGTTGCAGGTGTAAGGCCTTCGTTGTGAACAATTATGTGGGCACGGACGGCTTGGACGCCGACACCCAGTGCACGGACGCCCCACGGCGTCAAGGGAAGGAGGAGCTGGCCGCGTTCTGTAATGTGCGAGTGGGAGGGAGGGAGGAGGGAGGGAGGGTGGGAGGGAAGGAAACTTCCTCCCCTGATGGTATTTTACGTTCCCTTCTCCCTTTCTCTTCCCCTTTCCCCTTTTTCGTTTCCTGTGCTCACCCTCCCCCGTGCTTTGAATGCCCTTCCTGCTTCCCTCCTCACCCCTCCCTTTCTCGTGCCCCGGCAGATGCTGCAACCTACCTTTATTAGCAAGGTCTGTCCAGCGGTCTTCGGTTGTATGGCCTATGGGGCAGCCATGTATACACTGGATGAGGAGGTGAGGGAGGGAGGGAGGGAGGAAGAGGCTCTCAGGGCACTGTCCGCGACCTTCGGGGCAAGTGTTGCGCCTTTCACTTCGTGTAGGGGTCCGATGAATTCCTTTTCTTAGCCTTTGTGGACCCTCGCATGGTCGGAGGAGGTGCTTGATTCCGTCCTGAGTCCCTTCCTCCCCTCCTCTGCTAGCAGAAAGCGCTGAAGCAGCTTTGGGCGCGGGACGACGTGAGCTGCGGCACTTCCATTCCCCTCATCAGCGGACCCTCCGACGGCAGGTAGATTCATTGTCTCTCACTCCCTTTCATCCTCCTCTTGTCTTCTCGTCGACCTCCGCCCTGTGGACCGTGCTTCTTGGCAGCTCCCAGCCGCCGTTTCACCGTCTCCCCCGTGTTCCCTCCCTAGCCCCTCCAGCACCTACTGTGTGGGCATGCTCAGGAACAGCAGTCGCTGGACGTTGTTGGCCTTGGACACCGAGACCGGAGAGGAACGCTTTCACTTTCCTTACTATTCCGAGGGAAAGGACCGAGTGGCCAATTTCTTTGGGAACCCGGTGAGGGCTGGAGGAACGGCGAGCCAGAAGGGCCCACACAACCAGCATTGTCTCGTTGAAGCACTCAGCAGTCTGTCGATCCCTCCCTTCCCTACCTTCCCCCCCTTCATCCCTCTCCCAGTATTACGCGGGCGTGGAGGCCGTGGCCCCCGGCACCTTGGCCATGGGGTCAATCGGTGGTCTTATCTACCTGACACCCACCGGCCCCACTTCCCGTCTGCATTCTCCTCCTTCCGCGGTAGCATCGTCGGCCTCCGCCCGGCCCGCGTCCGCTGCCCGCGTGCGTGAGAGTAAGGCAAGGGGGGTGGACGGAAACAGTATCCAGGCCCTCGGTCTTGTCGGTATTGTGATGGGCTTTGTCTTGAGCCTTGGACTCCTCGTGCGCGCGTGGCACAGGGCAAAACAGAACGGAGGGAGGGCGAGAAGGAGGGCAGTGGAGGGGGAAGACGGTCTTGGTGGCGGATATCTTCCCCTCGCAGAGGATGACCGCATTTAGGAGACGGGTTGAAGTCCGCTGGGAGCATCGTACGAGCGGTTTTCGTGGATGGCCATTGTGGAAAAATTGCAGGGAATGTATGCGAGGTAGCTCCACCGACGGGCTTGATTGACGGGTTATGCTTGAAAATTCTGAGGTTGGACTCTGACTCGCCGAACCGAGTATGACACGAAAAAGGTGCGAAGCCGCGCCCATTGAAATAAAATACAGGACATCATGTCTCTTTCTACCAAGAGGCGCTCATATGTATGTTACATGCGACTTAATTTTCAAGTGCAAGTGCATTTTTTGGATATCCCTACTTGTCTCTAGATGATGCTAATTTTTCTCAAGATGCGCTCGTGCATTTTGTTCAATTTCGATGCATACCGGTCTCAACGGATCTTGAAAGCCAGCCAAAACCTCATAACAAATGTCGAATGGACGCTTCATTACACAGTTTTCACGTGAGGTAATAAATTCTGGCGGAAGGTACGTACAAATTGGCCCATTGACCCAGCGCTACTGGTACATAAGGTAGAATCAAATCCTCGGGACGTTTAAATTTACTCCTCAAAAATGCCCGGGCATGGCAACAAGTTGTCCTGTGCCATTTCTCTGTGGAGCTCCAAAGTGGTGACAGCACACACCAGTTCCGGTGTGCGATGTGATGCTAGAGACATTTGCAATCAAACGCGTCGGTCGATTTGGCAAATCCGCTATTAGAGTGCCGGTGGCACGCGACATGGACGTTCTCGCTTCAGGAGTCTTGCTCATCTTCCTGAACCAGACTTAAAGCCCGAAGTGATGCAATGCAGGCTAATTAACCCTGACCCCATGCTTCGAATGTTTTTGTTATGTCCAAATCTTTGGCACGCTTTCGACGCTCTGCCCAGCAATGTGAGTGACTTTTTCCGCACGGCTAAGAAAGCACCGTGCTCGGAAAGTTGTCTAGACCAACATCAGACAGGTGTCCTTGTGGGTAAAATCCACGATAATTACTACTCTTCCATGGTCACATGTAACACTGGGCAAATAACCAACAATAATACAATGTATAATTGAGCACTTTTCACGCCGTGTTTTCTGGGTTTACCCTGCTTGTCTTGTTTCCCGCTCGATTTTTAAGTACGCCGATCAGCAGCGGACGCGTTGCTTCGCGTCCGCCCATTCCTCTCCGAGCATCGGCGCAAAGAGCTTACTCATACTAAAAACATAATGGAAGCGATCTGGCCTGCACGGAGATTCCAAGCGCTTCCACATGTGTCTTTTTTGGAAGGCACGCGGGGAGGGTGAAGCATTTCCATCGTACTAAGAAAGTGGGGGGGCAGAAGTAATAAGACGGGACCGCCTGTTTTCATGATTGGTCTCCCGATCGTTGCTCTTTTACCCAATTCTACCCCCTTGCGCAAAGTTGAACACTTCACCACGCTGCATTCTTTCTGACAAAGAGAGATCTCACATGAATGAACCGCTTTGATTTGTTCTAGGAGGGTAAGGAGGAGCTTTCGCCAGCGGGAGACTGAAGCAGAAGCAGCGAAGGCCGGTTCAATCGGGAAACCCCACTCCATATTGGGTCGCGCAAGGAACTCAAAATGAAACGAGCGCACATCATCGGGGCAAGTGCACTCTTTTTGGGTGTTATAGTCCTTATAATAGGACTCCTGGTGGGACGAGGCGACAGGAAGGTAAGCAGCAACAACTTGTGGGCGCGGAGTGTCGTTCAAACGGATCATATCAGCCGATGTCGTGAATGGAAAGAAATCCAATTCGACCAGCATCCCCACAAAATAAAATTATGGCACATGTCATAATTATGGGGAAGGTAGTGTGGGATTGAGCATGCCTATTTAAATCGCGTTGTTTACCTTGGATACCTACCTATTCACTCCTCTCAGGCATATGGTTGTCTACTGTCATCTCGAGAAAGACCTTCATTAACACTCGAAATCTCACACACTCAATTTACTCGCCTTATCCGCGTTCAAATTCGTACCCGTACCGTACTTACTCGCGGATAACCTGAACTCTCCTATCCCCCTTACTAACGCCTGGCAATTTTCTCACAAATTCAAGCTCTCAATGGAGTGCTTACAATGATTCCTGGGCACTCGCGCGCCACAAACTTACCTCTCTCAAATTTACTGCTTTGAAAGGCCATTTCTGGGTTAAAGTCTTGACGTCATCTTCCACTTTTCCCGGTGCCAGGACCCTACACAGACAGCGACAACTCCCACTGTAGTATCCCCGGACGAACTGCCCCTCCTGAACAAGATCCTAAACAATGGCAGCAGTAGCGACAAAATTAAAGAAGACCCAGCGGTCGTTCCAGCGTCGTTCTCCCCTCCGGCCGAGTCAAAGCAAGCGACTTCGCCTGGCGCCACGACGGGGACGACCGCGCTGGGAAACCTATTGAGAAACTCCACCTTGGTCAACAACATAGTCTCCGCCGTGACGGCCGGCCAAGACCAAGCGCAAGAGCAAGCGCAGGCTCTCTCCAATTCCCTGGCCACCAGTGCCCTGGGAGAGGCCGTCGGCAAGATTCAGACCGCGGCCCAGGCTAGCATGGGGTACGTGGCCGTGGAAGGGTGCACTCCCAAAAACGCGGAAGAGCTCCGGTACATGATCGACCACACGACCTGTCCACGCTTGACCTTGGTGCCCGCCACGAATTACTCGATCACGGAGCAGCTGGTCATCCGCCGCCGGGTCACCCTGGTGGGTCGGCCGTTGGGGTTGCCGATCATCGACGCCCACAACACGACCCGGGCCTTCCTGGTGGAGGCAGGCGGGTTCTTGGACGTGCGTTTTGTGGAAATCGTGAAGGGAAAATTCGTGGAGGTCGTCCCCCTGGTTCTTTACCGCCTCCGCGGCCCCACATGCTATATTCGACGGGGGGGTGTCGCCCTCTTCACAGGCTGTCGGTTCAGTGCCAACTGGAGGAACGCCGCGCTATTTTTGGGGATCACGCCCCCCCAGACCAACGTGCAAGTCTTTGGAGGTGGCATTGTGGCCGAGTCGGGCACGCTGCGGGTCACGGACTGCCACGTATTTAGGCCGCGGATTGGGATCGCCTTTCGGGAGATTCAATTTGTAGGGGGCGAATTTCTGGTCCTGGGAGGAAACATGTACCTCACGGGCTGCACCTTTGTGAATATGGCGATCTTTTCTAGTTCTCTCGGCGCGGGTGGGTATGTGGCTAATTTGGGAGGCACCGTAGTCATCACCGGATGTCTATTCAACTACGCGGGAACTTTTGTCTGTACCATGGGTTTAGGGTACCTCTTCTTCTTGGGGGGGGGGGCGACCATTTTGACGGGCTGCATCGTCACCACCACGATCGGCTTCGCTGCGTACTTTGGAGGAGGGATCGGTATCTTCACGGGGAGTGGTGTGGCAGTCATGACGGGATTCATCTACGCCGCGAATGGGATCATGGGGATTGGCACGGGCTTGGGCTTTCAGATGGCTGTAGGCGCAGGGGTCAGCATCCGCACGGGGGTCATTCAGACCACCATGTCGGCGCTGGGTTACGTAACTGGCTGTGGAATTACAAACTACATCGGGGCGGGCGTTGCTGTCTTCTCCGATGTCATTCTTGCGCGGTCAACCGCCCTTCTTACCTTTTTTGGCACGGGAAGTTATTTGTATCTAGGGGCAGGCTACGCGACGATCGTAAATGCCGTGGGATTCTTCAACACGGGTATCGGAGCGAATGGCTTCGTGGGGGGGGACATGGCAGTCTTTGGCGGCTATATGTCCCGTATCAACCAGGTTTATACATCGACAAGTGCAATATCGTTTGCGGCGGGTCAAGGTGCCGACCTTTTCATCGGGCTGGGCGGGGCCAGCCTAGTCTTGAATCTGTACATTACACCTGCTACTCCAGTGGCGTTCCGTTCCCGGGGTCTCGTGGCAATTTATGTGGCGGGGAGCAACGTGTTCCTCTCCACTCAATTGGGGAATGCCACCGTCCTTTTCAACGTCTTGACCGTCAACAAGCATGGGCAAACGGACTGGTCCCGGAACATCTTCGTGGCCCGGAAAATCTCCTGGAGGTTCACCGACGTGGGCCCCAACCCCGACGATTTCGTCGGCCGACGTTTGGAGGCGCCAGAAGAAAACAAGGCAGGCCTCGACCCGGCCAAGAGATCGGGACATGGAAAGCCCGCGACGCTGGCGGCACGGGGGGAGGGTGTCGAAGTGACACCAACGCACCCCACGGTGCCGCGATTTCTCACGGGAAGTTTGGGCAGTGAGACCAGCTTTGACGTCAAGCCGACAGTAACGGACATCCTAAACAAGTATTTGCCAGACGAGGACGTGGAAAGCATTGGAGAGGACACGACTGGGGAAGAGGGCCATGACAGGGTGGAGGGGCATGGAAACCAAAACGACGGACCGGAGGCGACTCGTGCAAAGGGCGTACCTGAAACGAGTCCTAACACCTCTCAGGGACGTGTCGAGGATAATGCGGTGGCCTCCGTGACCGGACCCAAGACAAATTACAGCGGGGACGGGGACCTCGGCAACATCACCCACAACGCTTTTTACGCGTTCGCAGAGATACCTGGGCTGCAAGTGGAGCGGACCAAAACGGACAAGATCTACGTGGCTGCCCCTATGGACGTGTGCGGGGTCTGCGACGTGACGCCTGGGAACACCTTCGACAATGTGGACGGCCCCGGGGCCCTCTCCACCTGTGGCATGCAAAATACATGCGCGACGTCCGATGCGTCCGCGCTGGCCGTGCCGCCCGGTGGCGAAGGAGACGGAGATGGTGCAGGACAGGCAGGCGGAGAACAGCCGGGGTCGGGTATGTGGGTGACGAGTCGGGAGGAAAAGTCCGCGAACTCCACTGTGCAATTGCTCGAGATTCGGTCGACGTTCACTCCATTTGCAGCACCACCTCTGTCTTCCTCGGGCGCTTCGCCTGCTGTCGCTGGCGTAAACAAAATAGAGATGGCCGCAGCCTTGCATGAAGCAATTGTCAATTTGGGCTTATCGGACCGCTGGCACCTGCGGGTGGAGCCGTCCTGGGAAAGCAGCAAGAATGTGGACCCCTACCTCCGTTTGGAGGGCGACGCGGAAATGGAAGAGAGCGACGCGACCTTTGATTATGGAAGCATCGATCCCGCCGAGGTAGCGAATCAAGAGGCATGTGGACGGAAGGAAAGCTTCAAGGCCTACTTAGTCAGCGACTGGAAGAATGTTACGGATGAGATCTCTCGGAAATTAAAGACATCCACGGGCACCAAAGCTCTGACTCTGGCATTGCAAAAGGAGGTGGAGCACACGGCGGCTGTGGCGGCGAACGCGACTGACGGGGAAAACGACGGGGGAATGCCTGCCCCTCCCAGTGTGTGCGAACTCGTCGTATATCGTACCACTAGCCTCTATGTCCCATCCACGACCTTCGCCGGTTCGGGGGCCACGGCAGTCACGAGGCTGGCGTCGGCGCCTGTGACGCGTCGCACGACGGCAAGCACCAGTGCCTTTCATCGTGTCCTTTCTGCCGACGGCTTGCGTTTCGAACTGGAAGAAGCAGAAGTGGAAGAAGACGATGAGCAGGTGAAAGCACTGCTTTCACGGGAGGCCTCTGCAGCGCTCACCTTGTTAATACCTGACAGCACGGACCCCTACGCCCTCTTACGTGAGCTCCCTCCCCGCGTGGATGCAGTGGAAATTGATGAAAATTATTCCCTGGTCCTCTCGAATTTTCCGGGAACATTCCAAATGGCGACGCTGACGGTGCGGGCGGTGCCAGAGAAGGGGGAAGATGTCTTGCTGGCGACACTGCCGTCCCAGCCACACATGCTCACGCGGCAGCAGGTGTGGTCGTGGAGACCACGGGATAGTCTAGGGGCAGAACAGCTCGTGAAGGGGAGAGAGTACTACTTAGAGGTGACCTCATCGGATGGAATGGCTTTTGATTCGACCAATAAATTTGTAATCAGATGACATGCTAGACAAGAGAGCAAGGAGGGGAGGCGTACTAGGAGCATTTTGGTAGGTATTTGATCTCGAGAGAAGAGGACAGCGAAAGCGAGGGAAAGGAGGAGCGACTCATTGAAAGATCCTTGGATGATACATTTATTAGAAAACAAGATCATGTTGCTTGTGCTTAGTTGAGAAGGAGCGGAGAGGAGGTAGTGCTGAAGTTTACTGTGGAGGAAACAGTGAGTCTAAGAATGATGCATGTCGGAGGGGACCGTGTTTCCACAGGAGCTTGTTGAGCTGGCGACTGTGCTCATCTTTCCCATATCACGTGCCTTTTGTGCCCATGCATTAACTCGGGGCATCGAATGCATTTTTTATTTTAAACTAGATGAAAAGAGTGTTAATTAGTTTCCCGTACAACGATAAAATCTGTCGATGGGCGACATGGATGACACTGACGAAGTCTAAAGTATAAATAAAGCATACATATGAGTGTGTATGTGTAGGACGCGCTAATAACACTTGACATGGAAAAATAAATTGGATCAAAAGGGATATGCGCGTGTGTTAAGGGGAGCGAGAGCGTATGGATATGATTTAAATACGTGAAATTGACACACAATTTATTGCCGTTGATTTATTTGTCTGGTCATGATCATAATGATAATAATTATTCCTCACGTCTCTATCAAATAAAAAAATGCGCGCTGCCTTCCTCGCTGACAGCTCGTAAGCGCCGTTACTTAAAATCTGAGAGTGAGGTAATCCAAAAGTACCTCCAGGTATCCGGAAATATACTTGACTTAGATCTAGCATTAAAAAGTCACGGCACCAATAAAAGTCAAAGTTCTAATCTGTTTTGAAGACAGTATCGACTTGATTGCGTGTTTGAACGATGCGATACTCAGCTGGTGCAATTCTGGCATAAATCCTCCGTCTAAGCGAGAATCGAAGCCGCTCAACACTGCACTCCTGTCATCCACGAGATCTCATCTCAGTTTTTTTTTATTTTAAACTCTCACTACGCCCACCGTTGGGAAAGAATTTAGTCCTGGGTGCGAAGTATGGTTTTACTTTTTACTGTCTTGCTGCGAGCTTATTTAGTTTCCAGGGTTACCCCCGAACGGCGAACGTTGTCCTCGCTTTCGCCGTCGGAGTTTCGGAACCACGTCTCGTAACACCTCCACGAGTCACAAAGTACTCAGGAAGACTCCCCTCTCATGTTACCTTACATTCAAAGTGTTAGGGATCAGGGAGAAATGGATTCCTTTGCCGCCCATGTGGACGAAGACATTGTCGTCCCGTCGCTGTTCGCGCGAGATACCCCAAGGGCCTGTGTGGAAAAAGAGGAAGGGGAAAGACCAGACAGGATGGAGGAGGACGAAAAGCAAGAGCCCCCCACAAATCAGCACGTGCAACAGCGTGCAGCGCCCGAAATCAAGGCGATCGATCGATCTTCGGTTGCGCGAATTTGTTCAGGACAGGTACAAGACGCAAACTGAGACTGAGGCACTTCCACGCATCCCATTCTTCCTTTATTCAAATTGTTTTCCTACCAAAGGTGGTCATTGACCTAGCCACTGCTGTGAAGGAGCTAGTGGAGAACTCTTTGGATGCCGGGGCCACACAGGTAAGAACGTGGTGGGTACTGTAGCATGGATCAGGTCCCTTTCTTCACTGACCTCCCCTGGTGTACCGGCAGGTCGAGGTTAAATTGAAAAATTGGGGCGTGGAATCAATTGAGGTCTCAGACAATGGAAGTGGTGTTGCGCCGCAGAATTTCCAGGTGCGTGACAAGAAATGGAGGAGAGGAGAGGACAGGGCGTGAAAGGGGGATACACCCTCTTTGCTTTTCCCTATTGCCAGGTTCGTGATAATGCACATGTTTCAGGCTACACGAGCCTGCTTGTAAAATAAATCGTGTCTTGCTTATGGCCCTCGTGCTATCTGAATATATAAGTCATATGTCTGTTCTGAGTCTCCGCTACTTCCTCCCTTCCTCCCTCACCTCCTCCTCCCTTTCTCCCTTTCTCCCTTTTTTAAGGCCCTGACCCTCAAGTATCACACAAGCAAACTCTCCACTTTCGCCGATCTAGAATCAGTCGCTTCCTTCGGCTTTCGGGGGGAGGCCCTGTCCTCTCTGTGTGAGATTGCGGGGGCCTTCGAAGTGAGCACACGAGGGGAAAACGAGGACATTGGCGCCAAGATCGTCTATGACCGGTGCGTGGGATAGGGAGGATGGTGGAGAGACAAGGATGGGGAGGGAAGGAGAAAAGGGGTGGTGGAGAGAGAGAGGGGTAGGTAGGAAAAGGGAAGAGGGTCACAAAGTCGACGCGGAAGGGAGACTGCGCGCGCAGGGAGGGATGGAGGGGAGGGTAGAAAGAGGCAGGTGCCCCAGCTTCCTTTCAACTGGCAAAGGCGCCTCACCCTGACCTAGCCCTTTCATTCCCTTTTGTCGCCCCAGGAGCGGCAAGATCCTTTCCCAGACCCCAACCGCCCGCCAGCGAGGGACCACAGTCTGCGTGGCCAGACTCTTCGAGCCCCTGCCCGTGCGGAGGGCGGAGTTCAAACGGTGTGGGAGGGAGACAAGACAAGGAAGGGAGGACGGGCGGCGCGGGATACGCGAGGTCTAGAGAGCCGGTTGCCTCCTCACCGTCTCCTTCCTCTCCCTCTACCCCCTCTGTCTCCCTCCCCTCCCTCCCCTAGGACGGTCCCCAAGCAGTCCGCCAAACTCTTAAGGAATCTTCAAGCCTACGCCCTGGTCGCGACGAATGTGCGGATCACGTGCTCCAACACCAAGGGCGCGAAAGGCATCAGGTGACAGCCGCTCCTTCCACCCTTTTTGTCCTTCCCTCCTGCCCTCCCTGACTCCCTCCCTTCCTCCCCCCCTCCCTCCTATTTTTGCGGGGCTTGGTGCTCCTACGTGTTCGCGTCAGGCCCTTTTCGCACGATTTGCTAACAATTCCAGGCCCGTGCCCCTCCCTCCCTCCTTCCCTCCCTTCCTGCTTCCCTCCTTCCCTTCTTCCCTTCTTCCCTCCTTCCCTCCCTCCCTCTTTCCCACCTTCGCAGACAAGCGCTCTTCTCCACGCAAGGCACGCCTTCCCTCCGTGACAACGTCGTCTCTGTCTTTGGCGCCAAATTTGCCGCCACCCTCCTGCCTTTCCACCTGGATCTTCAAGGAGAGGGAGGGGGGGAGGGAGGGGGCGAGGGAGGGAAGGAGGAAGGAAGGGCAGGATCGCCGCGCGCGCAGACGACGGTGGAGGGGCTTCTCTCCAAGGTACGTCTTCCTTCTCTCCGCCTTCGCTGCCTGGCTCCATTCGGCTGACTCGGATGTGAACTCTGGAGGTGAAGGCAGGGAGTGCTCTGACAAGGAGGAGAGAGCTTCCCATCTCCTTTCCTACTTCTTCTTTTCTCGCCGACGGGGACCCTGCCTGCCCCAACCGCTTCCTGTGGCCTAGTTTGACCCGTCGACTCGCTCATCCTCCCTCCCTCCCTCCCTCCCTCCCT